GTACATATATATATATGAAAATACTCGCGCGATGCATCGCTCGGATTACCCGCAGGACGAGCGACATTAGATACACGTTTGCGCTTTTCGGCCGCGGAATTGTACAGCGAGCTAATGCATTACGTCCGGAGGCAACGGCGGTCGTGTCGCGACCGTTAAATTGTAAAAGAATTTAGTTAGTGCACGTTTCATTTGGTCCGGCAGGGAGAATTACACAATCACCGAGATATCGAGAGAGAGAGAGAGAGAGAGAGAGAAAGAAATACAACAGATATGTATAACGTTTATAGATTTAAGCTTTTAAGACTTTGCGTTAAAAAATTTTAGTTACTGATAAATCCGTTTTTCTGCAATTTTTCCTGCGAATTGAGAAAAACCACGGAAGGGAGAAAGAATCTGGAGTTACAAATCGATTGTATGTAGAATGAGACTCACAATCAGTGCGAGTTTGAGGCGCGATTGTATGTGCGATTTATCAAAATTTAAGATACAAATAAGTGTACCTATAATTAGAATGACGAATTCCAATAACGGTCTCGACAAACGCATGATTATGAGGTTCTCTCAGTTATTGGTGCTCTGGAGCACACTGTTGAGTTCGTTATTTTTATCTAGTAATCTAGTTATCTAATAAGTATTGTTGTTAATAAACCTCTCTTTTCTGTTATTTTTATTGTGTCTTCTGAAAAAAGGTATAGCCACTGCTTTCAACGCTTCTTTTTTAACGAATCTGGAGACTTACGTCATTTGTAGACATAAAAAAATTGAAATCCGCGAGAATATGCGTATACATATTATATACTATAGTACATCAATTGTAGGCGTTAAATTTCAAAATACGGACGCGCAATTAAAAACGGATGCGCATGTATTCGGTCTACCTTGTTAGAATTGTCGTTTCACCGCCTTAGCTAACTTCTCCCTATTAAACCACCCCCGATACCATTATAGAGACATTTCCCGATCGCATCGACGCCGCCGCCGGGACCGGCCAATCTCCCGAGCGAAAGGAGGAGACGGGGGCAAGATCTCCCACAGCCGTTACGGAAGCGCGACAGAGGGATCTCCTAAATATCTCGCAAAAGCGGAACGTTCTAGTGCTTTCGCCTCTCTCGCGCCATGTCGGGGGAGGGTAGGAGAGAGAGATATATACATATAGTACACGGCTTCCAGGACGAGCGAGTAAGCTTTTTGCCTACGCGGATGTAGGCGAGTGTACTCTCGTCCGCCGGTATGGAGGGAACGGGACGGTGGGAGGGTGGCTCTGCATATTTCATGCGATTTTAATGTGTCTCCGCTGGCGCTCCGCTCGGCGAACACCCGGTACAACCTGGGCCAGGGAGAGAGAGAGAGAGAGAGAGGGGGGAAGGGGAGGAGGGAAGGAGAGAGAAAGAGGCTGTGTGCCACCACGTTGCACGGGGCAGGAGTGACTGCCGTGATGCTCTAATCGGCTTACGCAACAAGCCACCCTTATCCCCGGCCTCGGTCGCTCTGTCGTTTCCACCCCCGTTGTCCCGCCCCTGCCTTCCCCGGGCCTTCTGCCGACGCTCCTTATCCGCGCCGGGCCCTAAACGACAGCTATTACTTTGCGGTCGCTCCTCTCACTCCCCGTATCCTTCAAGGACTCCGATGAACGGGGAGGTGGGGTGAGGGAGCCGCGCGTGCATCCCTCTGGGTTTCTCACGGACGAAAGTTCAATTAAAGAATAGCCTTTCATCGGCGAAGTCACGTTCGCCTCGGAAGATGATAACGCTGAAGAGTAGCATGTAAATTTGGTGAAACGTATTTACATTTTATATATAGAAAAATAAATACTTGTGCCGCGTGTTGCAAAACCAGACGCATAATCTGCTTAAGAAGATTTTTTTTCGCGAAGAACGTTTCTGACTGGATTATAATATTTGTAATATTTTTTATCCGAGTCGAGTTCCTTTATAAACAATATATTAAATATTTATGGAAATAGTTTTTTCTAGTTTTTTTGCATAAACGATTACGTGAGATGTTTTCCATCACAATTAAAACTCACTATTATTATTTACGTATCTGTTACAACGATATGTAACTCAAAAATTGTCATTTTTTTAGTTGCTTGCAAGAAAAAATATAAAGAAAAAGAGAAAGAATATATACTTTTACTCTTCTAGAATCAGTTATTATCAGTAAGCTGTACGGTATACTGGAGCAAGCCAGGAATGGGGATGTCTCAATTCCTAGGCAATGATACTCACAGAAAGATTGTACTACTCTCTTTGTCAAGGAATCACTAATTGACTAATGCTGTTTTACTATGTCGGAGAGAATCAAAGTTACAAATTTTAATATTGCTTTCCTTTTCTCCGTCAGGTACTCCGCAGTATTTCATAGTTCAATATAGGGAAGGTCCAGTATACTACTCTTTAAATTTTCTGAAGTAAATCTCACTCCAAAAGAATGAAAATACTGCCACTCTTGTCAGTATTTTCAATCTTTTGGAGTGAGATTCACTTCAAAAAAGTGAAAAGTCACTCCAGAAAATTTAGAGAGTATATAGAGCACTGCAGGTTGTTATATTATAAAAATAGCATTTTGAAATTAATATTACAAAATTTTAATGATTTGAAACATTCAAATTTATTTTCTGGAAAATTTTAATTTTTGAATTGTATTATTATAGCGAATGAGGTAAATTATCTGAAAAAGAAAGGTAAGTATTTTTTAATTTATTATTTTTGGTTCATGGAGAAAATTTTTAAAAAATTTGTACATTATTTATTGTCCAATTTATTAGTATTTAAAATCATTATGACATAGATTTTTGCTCAACATTTTCTATCAAAAGATAAGAAGAAATAGAAGAAATAAATATATGTTCTCTCGATGAATAAAGAAAACTGCTAGCTGTGACTTCATTTTTTCGCTGCTGAGATATAAAACGTCATTCCAAGTGACTATTTCCAAGTTAATATCGAAAAGTATTTGATTCATACATCTTAAATATACAAAATACTTTGGTATTTATAAAATTAACCGTGGTACACGTCTCAATCATTTTCCGATCAGGATATTCCGGGAGAGATTCGTTCAGTTTAATTCAAAGCTATTCCGCTTATCCTAAGTCAAGTCCAGCTTATCGTCGACTATATAGTCTTTCTTTCTTCGTAGCTCGCGATTCTCCGATTCACGAGATAAGGTGAACGTCTTTGCGAGGGCGCGTTTTGTCTGACTGGGTAGGAGATTATACCGGACGCGAATGCCGTAACAGGAGTCGCAACGCTGCCGCGGTTAAAACGCAAATATTTTTACAGGGCGAAGATTTCGCGTGTCTGAACGCGCGAGCACGCGTGTATATGTACATACGTGTCCGTTACGCGAGTGCGGTGCGGGCAGCAGCACCCTGCCTGCCCTACCTTCCCGTATGTGTTTGCCGAGCGCGCGCGAGGGGGAGGGCCGCCACCGCTCGGTTGCCCTAGGCCAGAACGTGCATTATTGGATAGAGTTACGTTAAACATACGCGCGCGCGCCACACGCTTCCTCTCGCCATCGACGCCGGTATCCTCTCGGCTCGCGAGCGCGTCATTCGCGCCGGCCTGGCCGCCGGGATATCGGATGAACACGGACGAGTTTGCCGCCGAACAAACATGCGATTGTATGTCACGTTCGCCCGTTCGCATCCCGCGGTGAACGTCCGCGTATCTGTAACCGACGGCATGCCCTATCCCCCTCTCCCCTGTAATTATCATGCGGAGGGCCGTGTTAAACACGAAGGGGCCAGTTTGATAATGCGCCTTCTCCTTCGGCAGGATGTCGGATAAATACCGACGAGACTGATCTTTACCTTTGCAACAAGAGAATTTAACGGAATGTCAATTTACTCGTTCAGATATCGCATGATCACCTTAATCAGAGAAATTTAATAGTTTCTGCTCGAGGCATTATAGGCCCTTGAAAGTATTTAAAAAATCGAAATTTTTTATTTTTCATTAGTTTAAAGCCATAAAAATAAAACTGACACAGTAAATGATACTGATATAATAAATGATACAGTAAATGATACTGATATAATAAATTGTAAGTTATTATGAAAATTACAGAATTTACGTCACGAAACTTTTCAAATGCACTTTTCTCAAAATATTATTTTAGAAAGCGATGACAACACAATAACTCAAACACAGCTCATCCGATCAATTTAAAGTTTTTAAGTAATACTTTTAATATTTCGTGTTGATTCATGAATGTTTTTTTTTACTTTTAATCTTTTTTTAAGCTAGTTATAACAAATAATAACAAAGAAAAAAAAAGAAATTTAAAAAAATACGTAATTTCCGTATTTCCAATTTAGATGCGTCTAATTTCGTGAAAAATAAAATTTTTTTAAAATTTTCTCCATGAACCGAAAATGATAAATTAAAAAATGCTTACCTTTCTTTTTCAGATAATTTACCGAAGCTGAAATCTTGACCAACCTGCAGGCGTGCACGGACTGCAGTAATTATTTGGGGCAAATAACAACACCATTGCTGTTGTTATTTTAATATTTTTTATAATTTTACATCTTTTAATTTTGTTACTAAAAATATATTTTTTTAACACTGTTTCTTTCATCCTGTTTCATCTACCTCTTTAAATAAAAATTTTATATGACGTTGAAAAGTACACTTTTTTTTCCTTCGTTCCTATAATTTAAATTTACTTCTTAAAGTATCTTTTTATTGTAATCGAACTATGTAAGCGAACTCAGATTTTAATTCCCATGTCCTTAAATAATTCTGCGAATGGCAGTTTGTTCGGAGAAAGCGTGAAATCGAATCATGTCCGGAAAAGTATGTTAAATTCTCTTTATATGCCATATCTATATAATATTTAAAATTTTATATATTTAATATTCTATGGTATATTTATAATATTTTAAATTCTATATATTTAATATGTTCTATATATGTGTGACATTTAAAATTCTATATACATATCTGAGGGGGCAAGAATGACGTATGCACGAATGATTTAACAAGAGCCTGTAAGATTCTAAAGATTTATTTCAATTTGCATACATTTCAAAAGATCGTCGAAGTTATAATTATTCGATAATTATATACGGGATCAAATTGGATCAAAATTCGCTATTTCAGCAGATTGTACGGTATGTACTTATGCAATAAGAGCAGCATATATACTTTATCCTTGTGTGCAGATAATAACTGCAGGGGTATATCAACGGTGCGTCGCTCTCGTGAACACTATAAGCTATAACTTTTTTGTCGTATCACAGAATTGTATTAGTCGTTTGGTTGCAATTTCAAATTCGGTAGCAAGAACGATCTCTCTAAGTAATTCTTGTACGTAAGTAACGCGTCATACGCACGAAGAGAATGGCAGGAGAATTCGCGTAATATTAATATCGGACGATCGAAGTGTATTGTATCTATCAACGCCGTCGCTCTCCGTCGACGGGAAATATTTAATGAACTCTATTTTAGAGAAAAATTCTAGCGGAAGCAACAAGAATCTCTTTCTTCACGGAAGTTTTCGCCAAGTGGATCGCCAAGGTATTCCTTCGAACGATTCTATAAAAAATTTAACCCCTGGGCGAATCCTACGCGTCGTTGTCTGTGTACTAAGCTCTCTGTGCGCAGATTTCTCTCTTTATACTTTTTTTCTTAAATTCTCTACTCTCCTGTTTCTGCCGTTATACGCTCGCGCAGCCAGCGTGATGTAATCGACTATAAGATTAAAATTCTATTTGTTCATGCAAAAATTCTTAAAATTGATTTTATAAGTTTATAACTTTTATAAGTTTAAAGAGATATATATATATATGTGTGTATAACGTACGAATCGCTACCGTTAAAAAGGCACAAATGTAAATAGCTACTAGATCAATGATTATTCCATATTTATCACAAATATTTAAGACAAAGCGCCGTATCCTATGTTTCGCTTGCGAAAGAGAATTAAAGTATTATGCAAATATATGTATATTATATTAATATACATATATTATATATTAATAGAATATATTAATATTATACATAACTGTATGTATTAATATAGTGATTTTATGAACGGTTCCAACATAAAAATTAAAAACTAGAGCGTATTTCGAAATACATTAGATTTTCCGTTCAAGTAAACGGACACTATGTAGACTCTATGTATTATAAATTTCAAATTGGAGATAGTAAGAGAGATAAAGCTTATAAGCGATTACGTATTATTCGTAAAAAAAAAAAAACGTTCAACGAAAATCAAAACTTCATAACGCCACAGCTGGACCCTATTCCAAAAATTTGGCACATGCGACTATTAACGCATATCTTGGAAGAAGCATATTTAGCGTTTTAATCCAGAAAATACGTCTGAGAGAAATTTTTGATATGAATAACAACCATTAAACCTCGAATGTCCTTACAGTGCCTTCGGCAGACCAATGTGCCGTTTATAACTTCACCTATAAAAGAATATAAATGCATATTACATTTTAACAATAATAATTGTATTATATCGATTTTAATTGTTGTACTTTAAAGTATCAACTTATCTCTCTTTCCAAGATAATTAGAAAAAAGACAAAATAACGTAACAGATTAGGCGAGAGTTGAAATATGCGTTTCTGAATATTCTCGAAAAATTGTAAAAATTATTGGGAGAATATCCCGGATAGAACACTACAAATGACGTCAATTCTTGCATTATTTGTTACTTATAAGTGACAAAAGTGAAGCCATAATGACGTCCTTACGATACCGTATGATATCATGACTTCATAATGATATCACTGTTATATCAGGAATGTTTCTATAGAAGTTTTATAAAAAGTCACTCGAATAAAATCCGATTCAAATTTCGCAGTTATTTAGACAAAAGCAACTATCTATCTTATCAACAATCAGAAAAGTGATTAGTTAATTATCCTCCGATGCGCAAAATTTGAATCTAACCAAGTTGCGTATACTTGTATTTTTCTGTAGAAACATGTTCTTCTAAGTTCTAATAATTTTGAATTTTTCAAAGCTATTATAAGATATCTGATGTTGATATGAGATTGATATGAGATATATATTATAAGATATGAGATGTAAACTCATTTAACTCTCGTTTAATCTCTTATCTAATTATCTTAAAAAGAAATAATATATATCACGACGAGTTATTATTAAAGACGGCCGTCCAAAAGCAACTTTTCGTGATTGTCAAGGCCCGGAGGTAATTGAAGAACGACATTACCAACCATTTCGGCTGTACCGAGGATAACAAACCCAATCTTTATACGTGACTAAATCAGTATTTTATTATCGAAAATTATAGCGAAAATTTTACAAGTAATTATTTTCAATTTTCGCAACGTTTGCTATACATATACACGTATACGTTATACAACAAATGCTGTAAAGATTAAAAAAATACGTTTATCCGTACAGCAAACGTTGCGAAAATTGAAAAATAATATGTAAACTTTTCACTATTGATACTAAAATAATGATTGTTTGTTATCCTAAGTACATACAACCAAAATGTCATAACGTTTCAATTATTTCTGGGCCCACTTGATAATCACGAAAACTTGCTTTTGGCCGGCCGACTTTAATAATATCTTGTCGGTGTATATATAGATATTTTAAAGCATTGAAACAAATAATTAAATTATAATAAATGTTTAGATAATATATAATATTCAAAATATATAATATTACAATTAACATTATAATTATATATATAATATATATATATATATATATATATATTATATATATAATTAATACACATATATATATATATATAAATTATTAGGTATATTATATTAGATATTTTAAAATATCATTCAAAATCAAATAAATTAATATTATAATTATTATTGATAAATTATAGTAAACTCTTAATTAAACATGTAACTTACCTTCAGTTATACTAATAGGTTCACTTAAAGAAAATACTGTCTGTTTCCAATGTGTCGGCGTAGAATAGGGACCTGTGCTGAAGTGAACTGGATTCTCGAGATCGAAAAAAATGTCGAAATAACCGATTATCGCGGTTAACGATCCTGTTTTCTTCACATTCAACGTGAAGGGAGACGAAAAATTAATGCAGTCTGTAGTGACTTTATATAAGTCAAAGGCTTGAATCTCGGCGGTGCTTGTTATCAAATCGTCGACATTGCAGATCTCTATGCTGGGCTCACGCAACGCCTCCGCTTTCATACAGCTCATTTTAAAACCGTATACATTTGACCAATAATCAACCAAGTCGATGTACCTCTCTAAAATAAAAACAACACATGTGTAAAATAACGAAAATAATTTAATAATATATGCTTAAATAATCATTTAAATTATCTTTTAAAAAAAATCTCGCGCCATGAAGTATATTTAAAATTATTGCGGTAAAAATTGAAATTGCAACACATACTTGTGTCACCACTTCCCACAATACTGATTGTGCATCTGTTTGGGAGAATTGTTCCACCAGGCGTCAGGTAATGGTCCCTAGCGTAAATCACTGTGTCCAGCATTCCTTCGAACAAGAGAAAATATCCCATCCACTCAGATATTATTGCATCCACTTTCTCTACCCCTATACTAATGTCTTCCAGACGACCTCTTTTTAAAGTGATTATGTCGCTGAGGTTGTTCTCTCTACAATTAATTGAATTGATGCTTATCAAATTATATATGACATAAAGACATAATTGAAACTAGAAGCTATTTATTTGGGATAATCTTTAAATACCATAATATGTATATTATATATTTAAATGTACCTTACTATATCCATAGCGTGATATATCACGTCAGACTGATCGACACTGATAACTTTACGACATCCAGATTTTGCAGCAAACATGGACAGGATACCAGTCCCGCAACCAACGTCTAACATTACACAATCATGGAACTTGTTGGAATTTGTTAATAATGCATCTCGGTAGCTTTCCGTTCGTTTTTTATCCTAATAAAATATATCTCTATCAATTTCTTATATAGACACAATAAATATCATGCTTTCAAAAAAACTTTAAAGAAATACAACGTTAATTTCTTCAGTCAGAAATGTAATCAGAGTTGGGCAAATTTACGAATGAAGAATAAAGTTTTATTTACAAATAAAAAACAATTTATTTGGTAAAAACTTATTTGTCTATTTTAAATAGTCAAATAAAGTTATATTAGAAAACTTCGTATATCACATAAATCGAAATTTATTTGCACATCATAAAAAAATAATAGTATATGTGAATAAAATTTATTCGCATAATATGAAATATATCCAAATATATAAATTTTACGATAAAATTCATAATAAATATATATACGTATAATTTATAAATATTAACAATAAATAAAATTTTATTTGAACAATCAATTCTAATAATTATTATTTTCTAATTTAAACGTAAATCTTTATTAATAAAGCACTTTTCTTCAAATAAATGTTTACCCAAATAATGTCTTTAAATATATTTCTTCTTGCATAATGTAATAATATAATGTATTTTAATACTTTTAATATTAATGAAATCAATGTAATTAGCCAAGTATTATTGACATTTAAATTTAATTCTGAAAACACTTTTTTATTACACGTGTATGCTGTATTAAGGTGACTCGGGAAATAACGCATCACTTAAGTACTTTTTTGAAATAACAGGCTCGTATTAATAAACCCGATCAATTAAATTACAAAAAATTAATATTTGTATTGTGATACTTTTATTTATTTATACCAAATACAAAATTGTTCAATTATATTTATTAAATTCTAATATTATTTTTAAAAAATTGACAAGTTATATCTTGCAAAAGTGACATATTTCTTCCATATATACAGGTAAGATATATGCCTGCACTTCCTATGTAGCAAAATACAACAAATGATTAAATAGTATGACGCAATAGAACTTGCACGATTTGCTTATTTATACAATTAAATTTAAGTTGTTAAAAACACAAAAATATGTGATAGAATAAACAGAAAAAATTAATGTCATAAAACATTAGTATTACAAACTGCTGGTTTAAACAATATTTTACAAATGTTTAGAATATTTAAAATGTTTAGAATTATATAAAACACAATCAAAATTTTAACTACATTAAAATTCATTTTAATGAAGAGGCAAGTACAAAAAATTAAGTTTTGTATTTACTAGCATCTTTTCCTCCAAATGTTAGAGGAAGATGTCACTGTACAGCTTGTACATATACATGTAACAATTTCACAAAATATAATCTAACTGTATCAGCTACATGATTACCACGAAACACTGATCGAAGCCGCGATTTATCCAGCTAAAAGTAAGCATTGAACTACTATCGAAAACTTTAAATATTACGTCACGAAAAATATTTCCTGAAATATAATAATAAAAAGCATATTTCACGATCTATCTCCTCGTATCTTTCCAAATCTTTCTCATTGTTTAACAATTCCGAGAGTCTTCTATGTAAACAGCTTCGTAACTGTTTACTATACATACGTCTGCGCAATTATAATCGTCAACGCGTGTTTTATATGAAACTATAAACAAAGTGGCGCCTTGTCCAAACTGACATTTTCCCTCGAGTCACCTTACATACATGTTGTACGTGACTGCTCGCGTGCGTATAATGTGAGGTATTTTGAATACTAGATTCAATAATAACAATGCGAAAAGAAAATAATAAGAAAAATCTCAAGATTCGATCAAATTTATTTAAAACTTACATTCAACATTTCGTGATGTATAGCAAAGTGACTGTACGTATTGAAGTAGCCTTCATCAGCATTAGATGAATTAGCCGAGGCATTTTTTTCTTTCTCGTCCAAATCGTCACCCAGTATCAATTTCTGCGCTTTCTCTCTCATCTCATCCATTTGCTGAAAAGGAAAGTTTTCCTTGCATTATACTGCATTTAACGATTATACATAATTACCTACCCAGTATACGGAAATGGATTAAAATATTTTTTTTTTAATTGAAATAGATTGAAATTTTCTAAATCATGGATTAAAATGAATTGGCTTTTATAGAAATGCATTCATTTCTACGAAGGCCAATTCATTTCAATTCATTTTAATCCATTATTTGAAATTTCAATTCATTTCCGTTTAGTGGGTACCCAGTAAACGAGAATAGATTGAAATAGATTGAAAAAAATGCATTTCATTGAAACGAATTTTGTTTCAATCTATTTCAATTTCGCGAATGCGTACTTCTGCAAATCTGAATCCATTTCAATGTCCAATGCCTTTGTATTCACTTATAGGAATTGCATGAAGCACATCTTCTATGACATTCAATACGAAAAACAAATTCAGCTTTAAAAAGTAAATCATGAATACTGATTAATTCAAAATTCTAGGTAGGAAATGCAGATTTTTCAATCTAATTAAATTCAAAACAAGTTTTCCGTGAAAATGGATCATGAATGTTGTTCAATTAAAAATTGTGACTGGGAAATGCATTGTTTCAATCCCCATCTAAATCCTAAAAATATTATATTCGTATTATGAAAAAATAGAAATGTATTAAATTCCATGGAGACCAAATCCATTTTAATTCATAAATTAAAGAATTTTAATCCATTTTAATCCTTTCCCGTTTACTGGATATAATTTTACATACCTGTCTCACTAGGAAACATGTTTCCTCGCATTCCCTCAGCTGAGACTTGAGCGATCTGATAGTTCTTTTGGTTTCTTCGTACTCCGCTATTGGCACAATTATACTGTCGTCAATCTGTCTTACTTCTCGTTCTTCATTCATATCTTTAATACTGATGAGATCTTCAACATCTGCGTTACACCAAATAATAAGATACCTAATCTCGCAAATCAGTGCGTGATCTACATAACGCAATGCTATCCGAGATTTGTAATTCTGAGCACTGACTCAAAGTGTGTCGACGTTTACATACCACGTATTGCCTTCCTTTTTCGATTTCCATCGAGAAAAACGAAAAAGGCAATAGGTGTGACATGATCAAACCAGTGTGCAGAATTACAAATTTTGGACAGTAACCAACGTCGTCGATGAAAAAGTCGCCTTGACTCTTTATACTTGCCATACATTAACCATGGGTCATCTTCCACAATGGGACGTAGATACTCGTCTTTGTTCCAAGCCTCTATGTCTAGTGTGCTCAGTTGTTCCGGTGAAATCTCCTTGCGACGAATAAAATTGATTAACTTGATATACGAGTAAGTGTCGTGAATATGTTTTTGTACAAAATCGCAGAGGTCAAACTTGTGTGAGTGCTCAATGTGGCGTAATGCGGAGGAAAATCCGTTAACGGTTTCTGTACAAAACAGACACAAAATGTTCTGGCAATCATCCTCATTGTTTTCCTCCCAATCGTCTCCGCTATCGTTGTCACTTGACATGTCATTATGTTCTGTAAAATAAAATATTGCGATTAAAATATTTCTTAATTATAAATGTAACTGTATATTTTTTAATGTATACAAATACATTCAATTAAAAAAAAGATGAGAATGGCATATATATATATATAATTAATAATGTAAAAATAAAATACATTTCTTTTTTTTATCTCGCACAAAAGACAAATGCTCCGTAACAGTGCGCGGATCAGACCCCAACAAGAAATACATTATTTAAACAACCTAAATTAACCGCTTAGCTTCTCTCCCAATCGCCACACGGAACAGATTGAACGTGTGATGATTCTCCGTCGTTCCGCGATTCATTTGCGTGAGATTTTCATTAATGTTTTACCTAATTCTGCCATTAGTAAGCTTCGTCTTTTCAAGTGATTTTAACCATAAAATCGTTCCAGACTATTCCGGAATCCGGAGTAGTCAGTCCCGTCGCGTGCGTCGTGCGAGTCGAACACGTGTCAACGGACGCAGATGCCAGATATTTCTACCTCCCGAATATTATGTCGAGTTCACATGATACGCGAATATCGAACACACTAACAAAAGCCAGCAAGAATTAGTATATAAAATATATAAATATACATAAATTTGATTTAATATAAATTTATTATTAGTATTTGTATTTCTATTTTTTTATTTACATTATTATATTTATATTATTGTAATATTTATATTATTACTTTACATATTTATATTAGTATTCATACATTTATTTGTATATTTATATATTCAATATAAATTATTTAACGATACTGATGACTCAATTTGACAATTTTTTTAGAAAGATATGAGTTTTTTTATGTTTTAATTAATGTAAATTGATGTTATTGTAACTGCAGTGAAAGGATGAATTTGAGAATCTGATGTTAGAAGAGAAAATAATTTCTAAAATATACCAAATAATTCGTGTAATGTTTCAATTAAAATATAATATGTTACAGCTTATTTCAATGTGTTAATATATTACAATAATTTATCATACGTTCCATAAAAGCCCAACATACAGTTAGCTTATTTCAATATGTTAATATATTACAATAATTTATGATACATTTCATAAAAGCCCACATATACAGTTGCGCTTTTAATTATGCACAAATATATATATAAATTATACACATAAATATTTATCCAATCATTTTGTCTGTAATTGCAATAACGGTACGCCATCACGATTGATAGATAGAGATAAATTGTCAATCACAAAATATTGAAAAATATTGGATTTACAGGCACAATCACGAGAGGAACGTGGTTGTTCGAGAATCCCTGTCGGACTCGCAACCGTTCGACGTTTGACGCTTCGCGAGAGTGACAACTTCGTCGTCCTCGTGTTTCCTCTTCGCGCCCCCATTCTCGCCTGACGTAGGCTTATTGATCTCCCGGTATAAATTCTGCGCGACATGGAAGTCCACATGTTCGTCGAACTTCGTTATGGGTATCATTTGACCGCACTCGGCGCATCGCTCTAGAGGCACCTCACGCACGCCTGAGTCGGTCTTGATCAGGAAATTGTACAGCGGGCTGCGCCTCTTGCCGCCGCTCTTACCAGTGAGTTTGGCCTTGCTGGGTCTCCCTCTTCCCGCCTTCGGCAACTCTCGGGCGGCCTTAACGTTCTCCTGCTTCTTACTACCTCGCGATTTCACGTACGACCTCGCTTCCTCCTGTAAATCGGCCGGCAACAGGGACAGGATATCCGGATCTATGTCGTCCAAGTCTGGAAATATCTCTCGCAGCCGCACCGAAGAATCTCGTGTGGAGGTCCTTTCGTTATTCCCCTCTGCGGGCTCCTCGCTGTTATCATTTACACGAGTGTGTACATGGCTCGTGGAAGGTGTTTCACGAGCATTCTCTCGCACGCGTAGATCTGTATTGTAATCATCGATGTTCTCGTCATCCGTGTTTTCTTCACCCGCATTAGACCTGATCAATTGTTTCCTGCATTTCGATTCCTCCGCAGTGTCGGCGCTTCCGTCAGTGTTGTTGCAGCACTTCTTCTCCCCTGTCTTATATACGTTCATGAAGAAAGAATCTTGAAAATCGTTATTATCTATTACCATACCCGACAGACGTTTGTTCTTGTCGCGCTTGTTGCACACTTGGATCAGCTTCGAAACTCTTTTTGACGTAGGCGAGTCCTCCGCACTTGTATTTAAATTATTGGCGATTCTCTTGCTTTCCTTCATCGTGCCTTGATTAGTTCGTACTGTTGATTCTTTGACCGCGGGAGATCCTTTAATTTCTTGAGGCTTTTGTTTTTCAGTTTTCGATGAACAGGCTTTTTTGCCGTTGAAAGACGTCTCTCCTTTCGCTTCTGAACTGGACGTGGAGTTTGCCGTATCTCCAAGCGAATCAAAAATGGCAACCTCCTCGTCTTTCGGTTTGGCGTTTTTAAAAAATTTCAAGAAGCTACCGCTTTCTTTCGATGGCACGAATTTAGTGACAGAGATGCCCATGTATGCCACCGGACACTGCGTCGACTTGGTGATAACGTCCACGCATTGACTTGCCATTTTTTCCGGTTTGTATGAGTTCAAGGCAAGCGAGCGCGTTTGGGATATGATACTTTTGTTCTGATAGTAATGATAAGAGATTATAAGTAGCGTCGCACGTCGCTGATTCTCCACGAAGTCCTCCTCGAGCCGCTCGCAGACTTCCGCTGCCAGATCCCCGGCCCAGTGCCTCAACTATAAAATATACCATTCATACCAATCAAAAGATGTAAACTATTTATAAATTAACTTAAAATTTATAAACTATTTATACATTAAATTAAATATTAAGGCTGGAAGATTGGAATTATCGACAGGAATTACAGTTACATGAATATCTCCGAATTGACCGAACGGAATTAAAAATCCTTTCACAGGATTGAAATGTAGTGGCGGGACGAAGGAATTTGTAGTAAAAACGGAAAAAAATTTACTGTGAAAGGATTTCCAATTCCGTTCGGAGATATTCATATGTATAATTGTAATGTCGATAATTCCGACCCTCCAGCATCGATCGCTTTAAATTAGGGCTTTAAGATTTGTTCGGATTTGACGTTATTCGGATATCGGTTTATTTGGATTACGACGCTTCAAATTCGGGTTATTCGGATATCCGAATCTTTTAAGATACCCGAATAATAAAAGTATCGGATCTGGATTTGTATTTCGAATTCAAATCTAGATTCGCAACAAATTTAAATTCGAAATTGAATTTAAGTTTGTAGCGGATTTGGATTCGAATTTGGATCTAAATTCGATAACTAAATATGAAAGTGAAAAAATGTTTTATAGCTAAAAGGGTATATAGCTTTAAATATAATAATTAAAATAAAATGCATTTTTCAACAAACAAATTTATATTATTTTAAAATTATAATAAAAGAAAATACATTGCGGATGTATTTTATCCAAATTTAGATCCGGATCCATATAATTCGGATATCCGGATTACCCAAATAATCGGAATAATCCGATTTTATCCGAGATTCGAATTGAAACCGATCTCGGATATCCGAATACTTAGAAGCCCTATCTTAAATCCTTTATATATTATAAATTATTTAATTTTGGCCTTACCACTTCTAACGAGGTGATAGCTTGCTTGCCGGGAAACTTTTTACACGCCCCGATAGACTTTGCTAACAGTCTATTGGTGACAGGCTCGTCGTCTATACCTCGTGCAATATTGTACAGCCAAAACCTGAGGAATTGCAGTTACATGAGAATTATGTCAGAAATTTGTAAGACAAATTACAAGTTACTATCGTCAAAAAAAAAACTTCGTTCACATAAGAGGAGCTTCACAGATTTACCCTGTCTTTTCATCGAAGTGCTTTTGTAATTGTTCCAAAGAATATTGCAACAGATCCCCCATAACTTTACAACCGAGTAACTCGACCACGTCATCGCCAAACTTTCCACCGAGATTTCGGACCTTTTTTACCGGAAGCGCCGAATACAGGCTTGAAACAGCCGCTTCAGGTAAAATCGTTTGGCGATTCGGCTTGTGTAGTCCACATGCCAATTTTGCCAATATCTGCATAGATTGGTTAAAACATTCAATTAATATAGAAATTATTGAAATATAATAATAATAAAATATTTTAGACAATATTTAAAAAATATTAACCTTGTTCTGTGCAATTCCAGCAGAACATCTAAATCCGGTTTCTCTATATACGCTATCTCTTATCTCTTCGACTATTACGCCAGCTACGGCGAGTCTCTGAGCTTGAATATCGTGCAGTTCTTTAAAAGAGTCCAGTATCCATGTCTGTAGCCCTTGATTCCTCTCTTCTGGAACGATAATGTGTTTATGTTCGATATGCGCAACACTCCAAGTTGTTCGCTTCAAGTGACAGCAGTTTTATTTAACATTAAGTTGAAGACCGCTAAGTGAATGACACAATTAAATTAGAGAAGAGCCTTCAACGATCAAGGCTGGATATTGACGTCTAATATTTCTATGTGAATTCTAAATACATTTTTCAGTTATTTAAATGCACGGCAAATTACTGTCGAATGCAATCATAAACTGAAGCTGGAGTAGTATAATTATATTGATCTTCAATTTTCATAATGCTGATGTTAATAATTATCTCAAAACATTACGAAGAACTTTTATTTTACTTGTGTTAGGTAATTTTTACATTACCTTCGTCATTTTTACCAACTTCCGAATATCCTACAACGTATGTATTTGAAAGAGACGATATTAGTCCCTTTGGAGAAACTTTAGAAGCGGCTAATTTCTTATCAACGATATCCGTAATGTCAAGATATGCTTCGTCGACACTAGCACGCTCTATTACATTGCAATGCTTCTTTATAACTTCGATGACTTCGCGACCAGCTTTTCTATATCTGTGTGACAGAAATTATTAAATTTGTAATAAAATAATTAAATTTATTACATACAAAATAATTTTTAATATAATACATATATCAAGACTTCAAAAAAAACGAATTTAGACATAAAAAAAAAAAGAAATATCAAGCAAGTCGAGTCATAAAATACAAACAATTAACATGTTATGTATTTATAAAAATTTAACTTGTAACTCTGCAAATTGTTACCTGGATGTATCTGCTTTCCCACGAAGACATGGAACGCTGACTAGAACTATATCTGGACACTTCTCTTTAGCTTCTTTGCCTCTCATGTGCCTTGTTACTCCAAAACTTCGTGCTTCGTAATTAACAGCTATTATTCTGCAACCAACCGTAAATATTGCTGACACAATAATATTTAATCTATCTTAAAATCAATAAATTTCTATTTGAAAGGATTGATGAATTTCTTCAATAAGGCTGTGATCAATAAAGCTGAAATCTCTTGAAACAGATCTCTTGAAGGCAGAATAGTTTCGGAGCAAATTTATAAAGAAAAGAATCGAAATGTTAAATGAAAAGTACCAGAATTTATCATAAATTTCAGCTATTATAGCAACTACAGTAATTATAAATTGCTGTAGTTGTTGTATAGTAGCTTAACAACTGCAGCAACTATAGGAATTATATTGTAGCAGCTATAACAACTGTATAATATAACAACTATATAACTATATAATAGCTATTCTTATAATAATAGGTTTTCTTATTTGATTTAATTTAAAAACAATTGATATAATGGCCAGATAAAAATTGACAGATTCCGCTTACCCGCCCATCTCCCACTGATTGTACTGGACAACAGCCAGGGGCTTTCCCTTGTGATGCGGTTGCAGCTTGGTCTCGACTTGGCAGAAGAAGCAATCCATGTCGATCAGGACGACGATCCTCTTACTCGAATTCGACATTTCGCCGGAATGTTCGTAAGACTGATCAGCATAAGACTAATTAAGAGTAAAGGAGCTGTAAATTGTAATGCATCCCCGGGTCATTTGACTGTCACTAACCACGCCGTTCGCTGCCTCATCTTCAATGCAGTGCTATTCTAAGAAAATCTACGAATCCTCCAGCTCTGCTCCACTCTGCTTCACTGACTACTCTGCTTCGACTCGCATTCATCACTGTTTACCATCGAACGGCCATCTTTTGGCGGGACTCAAGTCACGTGTGCGAACAGTGTTGAGTCACAAACTAGACAACGCGGAAGACGGGAGATTGCTCGTTAATTCTACGTCTGGCAACGATATCCAATGAACGCATGAGCTTTATAAAGCCGGTTCTACATTAGTTGCAAGCCGATTGCAAGCTTGTTGCGACAGCCAATCTGAAGCTTGCATTTTGAAATCAATGCTTCGGATTGGCTGTCGCAACAAGCTTGCGATCGGCTTGCAACTAATGTAGAACCGGCTTAATTGAGAACATCGATAAAGCTGTATGCTTATTGGATATTGCGCGACAATTCGCGTAGGTGAGGAATCATTAGTTGACTATTAATCAGGGATTGGAAGTAACTCGTTACTAATTGTAACGCCGTTACCGTTACAGTTACTTTTTTTTTGGTAACGGATTGGTAATGACGTTATTTTATTTTTTTGGTAACGGTAACGAATTATACAGTTACTTTTATCGTTCCTTTTTGTATTTTGAACTTTTTGTATTTATGACAAAATTTTCGTATGTATAATTTAATTCAGTTTTTAGCTAGTATAACACATAATTTAATCTTATTTTAAGACTGTTTTAAATAATGTTTTAAAATATTAATATGGCTCTGTGATTGGTTTATGACATCTTAAGAATGCCATAAGTCAATTAATATCACAAATTAAATTGACAAGTACTTTAATAAGATATTTTTATGTTTCATATGCATCTTAAAATACTTTAAAAAATTTATTATGAAAAATATCAGCTGAATTGCGTTTCAAGATCGAAAATTTATAATTGACGCGTAGTTTGTAAAATTGGATATGTATACCTATATAAATTTATTTCGAAATGTTAAGCACGAAGCTAAAAGCTCTAATTCATATCGAAAAGGCCTTCATTTTCCTAGTTGTATTTTGTATATCGGTCTAGTGTCATTGTTGTATTGCTTTTATTATAATATTAAAACAAAAAATTGCATCTTAAATTATTTAGATTAATCTTGTTTCAGAATTAAAAAAGTAACGGAAAAGTAACGAATCGTTACTTTTTAAGTAACGGTAACGATAACGAGTTATTTTTAAAAATCAGTAACTAGTAACGGTAACTAGTTATTTTTTAACTCGGTAACAAGAGATCGGAAGAGCACACGT